TACCAACAACAATCTCTCTCTTTCGCTTAGGCGGCTCCCGTGGTGTACCTGTGTTAGTGCCAGTGCGCGCCAGTCCCGTGCCCAGTGTCGTGCGCGTGAGTGAGTATTCTTGATACGAAACCACGACGACACACACCAGGCCCCAAATGACGTGTGAGTGTTAGAGTTGTTTGGTATTGCTAAAAATCTCTCTCTCACCAGTGACCAGTCGACTCGCATCGGTTGCCTCCATGAACGGCGGAGCTATTCTCGCACACACACACACACACACACATGTAAAAGAAAGAAAGAAAACAGACAAGCCAAGGGAGGGATGGGAGGACACACATGTGTAAAGAAAGAAAGAAAGGAGAAAACAGACACCCCAAGGGAGGGATGGGAGGACGGCACGCCGCCACCACACAGGGATTTTAAGGAGAGGTGTGTGGTGCGCTAGCCGTCATGTGTGTCGTGCGCGGGAGCCCTCTAAAATTCTTTTTGATCACGCAACCATCCAAAGGGGGCGCTTTTGCTCTTGCATGGTCTATAAAACACATCATGCAGACCACCGCGTTGACAACTGGGCGCTCGGCTACCATACTCCTGCTCGTCGCGGTAGCCGCCTTTCTGTGCCTCATAATCCCTCTCCGCTCCGGCACACTCGTCGCCAGAGCCGAGCCACAGAGCAGCGAGTCTTGGTCGCACCCGCTCAACGACAACCCAAAGTACTGGCTGGATCCCAAGTTCTGGCTCCCAGAATACTCGGAGGTGTGGGGCGCGGGGCCTTTCCCGTGGTCCGCCGCGGCCAAGTTGGACGACGGTGTGCGAGAGTCGGCCTCCTCTCCTCTCCTGCCCTGCATGTGCATGTCGTGTGCATGTCCACGCTACGCAGGTGCATCGGCGGCGGCGAATGCGGCGACGGGCGCGGCAGACGCGGCAGCGAACGCGGCAGGGTCGGCGGCAGGGGCGGGCGGCGCCGCGGCGGGCGCAGTGGCGGCAGCAGCGGGCAAGGCGGCGGGGGCGAGTGAAAAGCGCTGGATGCATCGTGAGATGATACCGATCGACCGTCTCCCGTCGCCCTCCCACTTGTGGGCGCAGCCTCGGGATTGGTTCTAGAACTACAGCCGTCTGAGCGTCAGGCAGCCCTCGGCTCTCATCTACACATTCTTCTC